ATATGTCTTTTCTTTCTCCAAGGCAAAAAAAATTCAATTTTGTCTTCCTTAACTGCTAGAAATACAATCCAAACTTAAAAGGGATACCCTGTCCAAATAAGGTCGTCCAACTTATACTAAGATCTGGATTAATCCAATAGCATTGCATTAAAGTCTAGATGCTCATCCATATGGAAGCAATATGCTCATTCAGTGTCAAAGCACTCCTGAATAGAATAGCAATAATTATTGCAAAGAGCGGTTTCTCGCATCAGATTTTAACCTATAAGATAAAAGGACATTACACATTATGGTCAGAAGTCAGAAAACAGCTCAAACAACAAAAATGAATCAAGACAACTACATCAAAATCAATTGAGAAAATCCACAGTACTGATCTGCATTCTGCACAACTACATCAAGTATACTTTGCAAAGAGAAACATATTCACTTATACAAGGCTGAGGGGCGGATTTTCTGTGTTAATTAGCACTAACTATTTTGAACAGTTTTCGTAATTATTGAAAGGACCATTTTTTCAAAAAAGAGATTTGAACTGAGCCGAAACATTTCTAAAGAGTTCTCTGATTTCACTGTTTTTCTCGGAAATTGTACCCGACTTCTGTATAGCCCGTTGGTTGCTTTACGTGATTTCTTGATGCTCAGTTATTATTTACTTCTATTACTCACTGAGTTGGAAGTACTCACTTTACTCCCTGCACCTCGCGTGCAGTTGCAGGTATCGTTCACCNTTCTTCTTCTTTGGGCATCTTCTGAAATTCAACTCAAATCTACCTCAAATCTGCTCCAAATCACTTCAAATTTGAGTTTTGAACTCCCCTTGACGATCCCAATCAATTGGGCCAACACCCAATCCAAACAACTAACAAAATCGAAAAATCCAATTTTGAAATTGAAGCTTCGAATGACCTTTAATGGTGACTCCAAAATAGTAATTCTCTTAAGTGGTATTTTTTTTTCTCATCTTAATAGTGATTATCAACTTTGAATATGGAAGGAGAATTGAAGAATATATATAATGGTAGAGAAACTTTGGGGTGCAAAGTCGTGAAAGAGGAAGAAGAAGAAGAACGAAGAAAAGAAAAAAATAGGGTGGGCTAACTGGTGAATTTTTTTTCCAGATTATATAAAACCTGGGCTATATCAGGTAAGGGCTTCAAATGTGGGCCATTTTTTGATGGACTGTTGGGCCAAGTGACAAGGAGCGTAATTTCCCCTTTCTTCAACTAGAGGCTCACGAAGGGGCTCGGAGGACTCTTTATTCCTAGAAGAAGACCTCTGAGAAAGGGAACCTCTAGTCTTAGAAGAAGGACCCGAGATAGAAGAAGGAGTGGATATGCTACCACCACGAGCAGACCCCAAACTACGGAGTCTACCCCGTCTTCTATGTCTAATAGGAGCATTGGGGAAGTTGTCTAAAATAGGGGTTCTCCTAGGGTTAGGGTTTGATGAAGCCATGACAAAGAAGATTGAAGTAGAGCAGAAGAGAATAAGAAGTTTTCGAAGAATTAAAGTGTTTGACTCGCTTTATGTGGTAAAAGACAAGTATAGAAGCTATATTTATACTAATGGGTAACCAGTAAAAGGAAAAAGTACAATGATGGAAGAACTATAATAATGTTAACTGATACTTCGTAATAGGGAAGCCGAAAAGAAAGCCTAAGAAAGTGCTGCAAAACTAAAGAACCAACAAGAGGATGACACGTGTCTAATGCATTAAATGGAAGTGACAATTGAAGCGTCAACTCTGTCAGAGCATTAATGGTGACAAAAAATTCTCTTTTAAATGAATTCCACTTTCCAAATATTCAAACTGATGAATAAATGAAAAGTGGGGGGACTATCTGTATTGGGGAAAATTGTATTTTACATATAAGGTGACGTGTCAGTACACGTGGATTGGTCAAATGGTCAATGAATCGTAATTAGGCACGATTCAACATTGTAAAACAGACACGAGCAAGGAAGGAGGAAGAGGCACGGGACATCAGATAAGTAGTACGGTGCTCGTACCTACTTAAATCATTTATATCCGGGAATTAGAAGGAATGAATCTGGTTATAAAAAGTGTGAAGATACAGCATTTAATGGGTATTAAATGCTGAGTCCGTTAAGAAATATATATATTCAATGTAATGATTGTGTAACGTAGCATTTAATGTATTTAATTATTCATAATAACCTCATTATGATTTGGGCATAACGTACAATCTCAAAAGTACTTATAAAAAGGAGATATATGATCAGTTGTAGGGGACACGAAAGACTATTGAAATATACATTGATATCATTCGTTTTTCTTGATTATTATATTGCTACTCAGAATTATTTTCTTCTATTAATTTCTTTGATTATCAGTAACCCGAGTTCTTCTAAATTCTAGCTTTGACTAAAATTACATTTTTTGGTTAAACACACAAGCCATGTAAATAATTTGAAAGATTAAGCACTTATAGAACAAACAAGCAGCGAGGCATATTCTTTTAATGTGTTAAAACTTAGTATAAATATACGTTTTTCAAAAATATTCCAAATATAAATATAGCTCAAGCTGAAAACATAGTATACATCCATCCCACGGGATTATAGGGAAATTTATATCTTACCTCCTGCAGCTGCTCAGTTTCCACCTTAACAATCACCCTCCCCAGAGTTATTTCAAACAATGGCATGTAGAGAATTTTTCTTCAAATTCTAAACATTCAATATGAAAACTACTTAAAGTAGAAACAAATGAAAAATATATCAAATTACATATCAACTTGTTTTCAACATTTTGTAACTGAACATAAACCAGCTGTAAGTTAGCCAAAGCTTTTAGCTACACTGTTTTTCTTAAAGTATGACTCTCGTAGGCTAGAAAGGGTAAAGCAACAACACAATTCATCAGCACACTGCAAAACTAGAAAATGACATTGCACAAATCACCGCCCAATGAGAACGAATATCTTTATGCTTTAGAATCATCACCCCAAATGCGTGATATTTCACTTAGACACGGGAACAGCTTACTCCATATGCATTGACAGACAACATAGGACGCAATATAACCATCCTTAGAAACATTATCAGATATATGACAAATTACTTAGGTTCCAAAGGATGTGCTAGACAAGGTTATAAGTTGTCTTTTAGGGGCATGTTGAGATCGAAATAACATGGTGCATGCGGAAGACGATAAAAGAATTATACTAAGATGAGCTGACTCATTAAATGGGTCATTGTCTCCAAAGTTCACTTGGATTAAGATGGGTTGGGTCAAGACGGGCTTTAATGGGTTATAATTCAACCCGTCCAAATTGATCCAAATCTTTGCAATATTCTCAACTTTTAAACAAGCATATATAAAATATTTTTTTCCTGTTGCTTCTTGTCTTATGTTTTGGAATAAATATCAATTCATGCTTAGTAATTTCTTTCCATAATTTAAATTTAGAACTTTATTTGATAGTTCGTTATCTTATAATACTAACAAAGAGCAGAATAATAAAAAAGTAAAGGAATAGTGATAAAACAATTGATAAAATTACTCCATGGGTCGGTTTGGGCTTAAATCATAGATTGATTTGGGGGAGAAATTTAAAAATAGCCAGATTTACAAGTGGTCGTTCAAAAATTGCCCAGTTTCAAAAGTAGTCGAAATTTAGCCACTTTTCATGTAAAGATAAATCTGAGCGAAAACACTGTTCAAAACCCGAAAAATACGCCAGTATATTATGCTGGAGTTCCAGCATAAGTATACTTGAACTCCAGCATATTATACTGGAGTTCCAGGATAAGTATGCTGGAACTCCAGCATAATATGATGGAGTTCCAGCATAAGTACACTAGAACTCCAGCATAATATACTGGAGTTCTAGCAAAGTATACCGGTCCAGAATAATATGCTGGAAGTTCATACACAAGTGCTCGAATCTCCAGTATATTATGCCGGAACTTTCCGTGTGTTGGAGTTCCAACATAATATGCTGGAAGTTCATATACAGGTGCACCGATCTCCAGTATATTATGCTGGACCGGTCTCTGTTGCAGCAAAATATTGGCTATTTTTCATTGACTTGGTAAATGCTGGCTATTTTGAATGACCAGTCCGTAAACTGGGTAGACCGTGCTATTTTTACTTGATTTGGACTACTGAAAATAAATTTGGTTTAGTTGGGTTGTGCCCAAACTTACCCCATCATTAAAGTAGCTCATGCCCAATCCATGAAAACCTGGGCGGGTAGGGTGGGTCAAATGGGTTTGGGTCACTTTTACCACCCCAGGTGTAAGAAGTAGCATGCTCGAACAGAAAAGTTCTGATCCTTGATCTCCTATTAGTTCAGACTGCAGAGGACATTATGGGAGGCTTTGCTGCACCCGCGCATATGGCTCAAAAAGTATTTGATTTGAATATTTACCAAAAACATTCATCCCATTGGGACAAAAGTTCTCCCTCTTTTGTAAACAGGTGACTTGTATACATAAAGAACCCGACATGGTCAAGTTCTGATTGCTGCTATATTTTTTTTTTTTTATCAGTATCCGCATGCCAAATGATTACTGGATTAGGTGTTTGAAATAATTTTTTGTATGTGGAGATACATATGACAAACATGGAAAATAAAGATACAAACGACAAACATGAAAAAAAAGGATACAAATGACAAATAAATTCTTACATAGTCAATCTTATTGCCTGTGGCACTTCTTTGTATTGAACGGTGCCACTGCCCCTTATACTCCCTCTCAAACTAATTTTCAGCTTTAGTTTTCCTATTTACCGTTGCATGTTTTCCAGTTTACTGCGTCAGGACAGAGTAACTGTATCAGGTCATAGGAGGTGGAATACTATCATCCACAGAGAAACCCCTTATTATGTGACATTAGTACTAACCTCCCTCAACCTCTCATCAGAATAAGTTCTTTGAACCAAGATCCAATATTCAACCTTCCCTGTATAAATCTTTGGGCTTCCCACTAGTACTAGGGAAACTAGAGGAAACAGGCTCGAGAAATGGTTAGTCGATCAGAAAGAAAAATTCATAAGATGCAACAATTCAAAATCAATCCACGAAACTTTCTAAACGTGAGAAAAATTCAGGAACATGTTCCAATAGTACTCTGGGTTTTCCCTGACTGGTGTCTATCATAAAATGTACGTTCTGTTAAAGAGTCACAGAACAAAGAAGCAATGGAGAAAATGAAGGACGGCATGGCACTATAACTGCAGAATGGACTCAACAAGCTCATAGAGAGGTGCAAGCTCTGCCTTGTCTATCAAGCGGAATTCCTGCATCAAGCAAACTCAAATTAGCAACTTGTTGCGAGAAATTTGATCTTTCGACCTCATCCTGCTTGTGAGGAACAAATGACGTGCTAATAACTTATGACAATGCATCAAATCAACTACATGAAATGAACTACTTACCCATGTGTAGAGAACAAAATGCTTAAAGCAGGTGTTCAGATGAGCTTCTTCCTTTAGACTGACAATCTTTTGGAAATGGGAATGGTAGATATGGGCATATACACGAAATAATCGCTTAAATATTGTCTTGACAACATCCTGAAAGTTAGGCGGAAATGGTGCACCTGTAGCATACCATTGGTCTAACATAAATACACCTTGATCGAAGAGGGAACTATTGTGCACAAAACAAAGAGACATCACTTACCCAATTTTTGAGGAAAGATTGATTCATCATCTAGCTGAGTCTCTATCCAGTTCATTAGATAATCCACGTACTTTGGAGCAGAAACTTCTACAGGTTTCTTTATAATCACTCCATCAGCCCATCGATACTCATACCTGCCAAAAGTTGTAATAGAAACTTGCATGGTCATTCCACAACAAGTATAAGTTGCATTGCAATTTCCAGTAAATTCACACTGGGCAGTTTACAAATTCAGCGCAAGTTTTTACAAGCTCAATGCACTAACAAAGAGGACTCAACAGCTAAAAAAGGAACTTTTTAGTTTCACTCGCCGAGATGCTTCAACATTTAATACTTTAAACAGGTTGATTCAGAGAGACAAACTGACTATGATTGGATTACCTATTCCTACTGACATACCCACATTCTCCTTTCTCCACTTTATAATCAGTATGCATATACTATTGAGAGACAGATATATAAGAGAAGTGGTAAAATCAAAGCTCAGTATTCTGAACGTCGAGTTGAAACCAGTTTGTTGTGGTATGTCTGTGGAGATGCGGTTCTCGCTTGATTAAACACTGAAAAAAAAAATTCCCATCTTCTTGCCACTAAAAGGCCAGTCTAAAATTCAAACTGGTCTAGATTATCCATAACAATAATTGACCTACGCATGCAAATTAACTCTTTTTGGATATATTCATAACAAGGACATTGTATGCTGGATATTGTAATCAAAAGGATGATTGGTCCATGAAGTCTGTTGATGACTACCAATCCTTTTATGGGATTAATAAAATTTAACGGGTTCCAGACGCACACTCTCAGTAGCCTTCAGAATTGATTGGTTTAAGCCCATAAAGAACGCAAGATGCTATTGGTATTACAGGTCTTAAGCAGATTATTAACTGATAAAACAGAATCAGAACATATGCAGCATTATTCAAGACAGAAACACGAAATGCCGGGAGGAATTAGGATTTGAGATTGGAAAGAGATTTGGCCAGGTCTTCTCTGAAAATTATATTGTCAACGAGTGTATAACCTCATACGACAAAGATATCTATTATGGCAATATATGTACTGTAACAAGTAGAATCAGAAATGAAGTAAACAGATTGAGAGACATACTTTGGTCCTGCTGACATTGTTGGACAGCTTGATGAAGTGCAGAATTCAGTTAGGGTGCCGTACAATATATTCACTTGGTTGAAAAAGTCAACAGCTGTAGAAAATTGAAAAGTTAAAGGTCGCATTAACTAAACGGTGCAATATATCAGTGATTATCATTGTGACATGTGCATTAACTTCAATGTGGCATTCAAAGCAAGCATCCAAATAGAATAGCAAATGACATTAGTGGTGAATGAACAGCTCTAATACCAAGTAACTTATCACATACTAGCATATTTCTCTCAACTACCAAATGAAGAAGGATGGTTTTCCAAGAGGAGCATTTGGTAAAGACGCTTTTGGAATATGAGAAAGGAGGTTACACTCTTGAAGTATTTTTGGAGTTAGGATTCTAACTCACGAGTTTTATTAAGCGAAGATAAATCTTATCTGCAAAGCAAATAGAATAATTAACCACCATCCTTCTTTGGAGAATGTGAAAATGTCATTCACATTTGGTTTTATTGATTCCCTATCTGGACACAAATATCATATTTAATTTGGGAGTCTCTCCTTCTCTTTTATTTGTCTGTCTTGTGCAAAACTTTTAGAGATTAATTTACCCACACTCGCGGCTAATTTCATTGTAATTCATAACTCTGGCACGTGCCAGCTATATCTAAGCATTATATGGTTCAAAAGCTTAAACATAGTAGATGCCATATATGCTAATCTCTGCTGATTGTGTTCTATAGTTGCAATATCTGCTCTGCTCTAGATGAGTAATTGGTTTACTGAATTACACAGTATCATAAGAAGAAAGATGAAATGAATGCACGACTCATCAATCATAGATGTTATACACAACTGCAGCCTATGCCAAATTGTCCATCATTTAGGCATTATGCATATCTAATTGACAAAGATACTGCATCGGCCATGGAGAAAACATAAGCATAGTAAAGAACCTATAAAACGACGATTTTGCAACAATATCATGGACAGACTTCTAACCAATGTTCCATTGGGATGCATTTATAGGGATGAAATTCTTACTATTTATAGCCAGCCACTCATGGAGATCTTCACCAGGCGGTAGCCGCACTGCTTCCCTTAAGTTGCCACTACCTAAGGTAGCATCAATGTGCTTTCTAAGTTGCTCACCCTGTATTTGAATAAATAAAAGACAGAACGTGAGAAAGGTTAAAATAAAAGAAAGTTGCCGCTGGCATAAAAATCAAACAACCACATTGAACACCCAACTCCTAAGCAAATTAAAATGAGGAATGTAATTTGAGACACATGATAGAACTAGAAGAGGCATTAACCAACCTTGCTTCCTGATGGAGCATTCTTTTTAGGGCGAAAAGTCTTCTGGTTCCTGAAACAACCATTTGAATTAAAATTAATCAAAGCAGAGCTTTGAGATTTGGGACAAAATGCATCACTTCTCCTTCTAGTTGCATAACAAGTTAGACACAAAATGCGTGAAATTAGCTGATTATTGATACAAAAAACTCTAATCTGGTCATAATGAATGCAGGAAGCTGTTTTTGTGTTAGTGACACAAATTAATTCAAAAATTGACAATGCAAACATCGTATGCATCAAGACATTATTGTAGTATAACACTTCTTGGTTAAGTATGAGTACTACTTTCATAATCAGTCAAACTCAAAGATTATCATTCAGAATCAACACTTGGAAAACACCCCAATCGAGAGAATGAGAAGTTACAAAAATATGTATGTTTCAACGTATGTGTTGGGCTAAAACGGCCCAAAGATACTCATAACATGGTGTAATATTATCTGCTTTTGGCAACCCGAATGGTTTTCCCCAAAAGATCCCACACCATTATGAGTATCCAACTCCTTATAAGTAGCTTATTTCTCTTTTCTACTTTCCTAACAGTATGACCGTATTCGTAGTATTATACATCTTTAATCATTATAAATATTACTTCCATGAACAATCAAACCCACAGAAACAGATAATCATTCAAAATCAAAACCTCAGAAAAAGAAAAAAAAGAATAAGAAGGAAAAACACCTATGCTTAAACACTTAGTAATAGTGATAAAGATTAGTCCTGTCAAAGATTGTCATTCAAAATTAAAACTTGGAAAACCCCCATTAAAAGAATAAAATTGAAAAGTATTGTGCATGAACAAATACCTGCTTCCAAGGCCAAACAGACTCATGATTGCAAAAAGAGCAATTGGGTGTTTGAGATGGTCAACAGAAAGCGCTGATGATTATATATATATATATATATATATATATATATATATATATATATATATATATATATATATATGTATATATATAGGTGGTGAGGTGAGGAGCAAAGTGTGTTTATATTGTACAGAGCGGCACCTTCCCTCTCTCTCTGTGGGTGTGTAATCTGTGTGTTTGTATTTCTGTTTTCTGGCTGTATATGTATGTTAAATTTTGATTCTTTGCCATTGCCAGCGCCAAGCTTACCTGGCTCTGCCTCATTGTCTCATTTCTCTATGCATGCCCGCTTGTACTTTCTACAGTACTTCCTTCCTTATTTATTGTCTTCATTAAATCTTTCTTTTTTTGAAAATGAAATTTATCTTTTTTTCACTTGACAACATAAATAAATTTTTACACCATTCACGTGATTTAGTATGTCATAAAAGATTATTTATTTTAGTCTTCAGATTATTAATTTTATAGAAAGTTATTTTTTATGTAACCTAGCAGAAAGTTATTTGAAACCTTTTTTCGTTTAACTTTTCCCCTTTATTTAAGATTTTTATATTTATTTTCTTTTTGACGATACACACGCATGTGGTTCAAATCTCGTCTTAGAGCAATTGAAAGGAAAATATCTATTAACTTGTCTTTAAAATGCAGCAAGCTAGGAAGTTAAGTCATAGTAGTAAAAACTTGCATGCACTTTTACGTCAAATCAATAGATACGTGACATATATATATATATATATATATATATATATATATATATATATATATATATATAAAAGATTTTCGTACTTAATAATAATTAATTAATATGTACATATATATTCTTATCTCATTAACTCATCTAACCATGATAAATTGATATAATTTAATATAGACACCATGTGTAGTGAAATGTTTACTCTTATACAACCTCATGACTAGAGGGCCGTGGAAAGTATTTACCCGTAAAACGGTACATTTAAATTTGTACGTGGTTTATAGATAAGTGAATTATTTTGATCCCAAAATGATAAATAAATTAAACAAAATGATAAGACTTAGCGTTAAAATCGAGATAAGACAGTAGAAATGTTGATAACAAAGCTTTCGAAGGCAGTAATAACAATATTAATAAGCAAGAAGATGAAATACTATTGAGCTTTTGAACAAAGTATAGTATCAGCTTGTCAGAAAATTCACGTGCTTTACAATGGTTGTTGAGCCTCTATTTAATTTATAATTGCACCTAGGGAATAAGGTCCTAAGATCAAGCCCTTCTTAAATGACAATTATGAGGGCCATTAAAAAATATGTAACGGTGGACAATGAATGTCATATTCTCTGTAATGGACTATATACTTAGTGTTATAGAATATTCAACATTAAATTCTAAAGGTGGCAGGCATTTATTTCATGAACACCATTTCCTTCGGGAACAAACGAGATCGTTGCCTTCGGACCTGGTTGCCTTCTGTTTTCGGCTCCATGTGTCGCTTTATCATGTGAGCATTTAATATGACAATATTTTACCCTAACAGATAGTCCCTCTGCTTTCTAGTGGCATAACCTTGTGTAACCAGGAAGTTGGTAATACACATTTCTTGGCGGGAAATTCTTTGTTCCCTTCTGAAAGTTTCTGACGGTTGATTAGACGCACGTCTCTCCGTATTTAATGTCCCGAACATGCGTCATCCTACGCTTCAGCAACACTTTTGCCGGTTATTGAGGTAATTATGACCATGATCTTATCCACCTATTCCTTTACTTATACATATCTACCTTCTCCCTTTACACTTCATAACTTTTCAAGCTCTCTCAAACTCTCTTTACTCAACTCATACTTATTATTCCCCCATGGAAAAGAAACCCTTAATCTCTTCTGATAATAATGGCCTCTTTGTCGATGCCTCCTTTTTCTAAAGGCGAAATCGGATTTACGACATTTGGGCGGACAACTCTATTCCTTTTGGGAATTTGGGTTTTGAGATTTAGAAGAGTCGCCATCTAATGATTGAGTGCATTAGGACACCAAGGAGTAAAAAAAAAGAAAAGAAATAGAGAACGGGTAAGGGCTTGAAATTATCCCAGGGGGAAGGTGTTAGGCACCCCCCAAGATCCACTAGTGCAGTTCCCGACCATGCTACAATTTGTGACTTTAAAGCGAATAAACATACAAGACAACTTCACATAACGATTACAAGTAGGATTATATAAAGGTTAAATAAGCATGCTGAAGTTAGGGAATAGATGGTTTCATGTTCGTTTAAAAGAATGTATAAATGCAGAAAAATGAGGGCCAAGTAACGAATGCAAATAATCAGACAGAGAAGTAAAATGGGCGGAAGTTTAAAAAATAGTGCTGGAAATTCCAAAGAGGTTTGAATTAAAGTGAAATACAAAGTTTAAAGAATTGGAAAACTGACGTAAGAACATATGGAGGGAGGGGGATCCTAGGTTTATAAATAACATGGATCATCCACGCAACACCCGGTAACCAATTATACGCGTGGTGTTATCACGTGATCATCATCTCCATGTCTACCCTTTCCCACCCCGTTTAAGGTATTAAAGTGCGGAATGGTCTCGTTACTTATTGCATGCTATTACCTGTCCCGATCCTATCAGTCTCGGAGGCATTGAGACTACTAATCCTAAAAGGGAAGGGAATTGGGGCTTTTCAGAGTTTAAAAGGATAAAAAGTCTAAGGCGACAAGCAAAAACACATAAGCAGTTAGGGGAAGAACACATAGCAATTAAGGCTCAAGTAGGCCTCCTCACTTAAAAGAGCAGATTGTATAGCATGACTTCAAATACTGGTTGTGGTCTGAATTAAAATTACGTAAAGGGGGTGGCTGATTTATTACATATTTTCAGATAAGGAGTCCGAATTAGGCCTTGTCTGGATGTAGTTTATCAGAATTGACGCAATGAATTACCTAATAGTTTGCCTAAGTGAGGCCTATAGGCATGACATCTAATAGAGCGTACTGATTTTAGGGAAAGGTTGCTGGTTATATAAACGAAAGATCTGCAGATTTTGACGACCTTATGACTGATTTTAGACTCGTAGATGAAATAGACGAAGCTGGTTCAGTTGATTATTCCTACATGTATGATTTCTAAGCGTAATTGGTTTTAAACAAATACATAAATGCAAGAGTCCTATAGGCATAATATCTAGAGTGAAGTTGGTTATTTATTAAACCTATGATTGTTTGCCTAATGGCATGTATATGCAGAAGTGCAGAAACCTAAGATCATGATTTCTATATGCAGAACTTATAGACATAATTTCTAAGATGCAGAAGTGCAGGACTTATAGACATAATTTCTACAATGCAGATGTGCAGAACCCTAAAGTCATGATTTCTATATGCAGAACTTATAGACATGATTTCTAAGATGCAGAAATGCAGAATTTATAGGCATGAGTTTAAAAAATAGAATACGGAAATTGTAAATAACCTATAGGCAGGTTTTCTACCTTGGCATGCATTCATCCCCATCCCTTTCCACTAGCCATCCACAATTGTTATTACAAATTATTACAGACCCAAATGAATTAGAAAAGAAAAGTAAAATTACATCAAAAGCTCCAGCTACATCCAAACAGCCTAATTCAGACTTCAAAGTCCAACAATATGAGATAACCAACTTCCAAGATCAGATTTCCAAAAGCCTTCTCTCATATGTTGGGATGATGTCAAGAGTTCCCACCAGGAGTCTCAAAGGGGCTTCGGGAAGTGCTTACACCCCAAACACATTGCAGAATTAAGATCATAGTGCAGTGTGGAAATGCTAGCCCTCGGATTGTCCAAGTTCAGAGGGAACTCAAGTCCCAAAGCAAGGCTCATAAAGAGGGGCAGAACTTAAGGGTCTAAGAATAGAGTTAAGTGCATAGGGGAGACCATGGCAGGCTGGTGGTCATGCCCAGCAATTAGGATGCTGGCCACACCCCTAACAGCCTGTTAGCCAATTTAGGAGTAGGATCCATTGTGGATCAGGTTATAGCCTGGACAGCAATTAGGGTACTGCCAGGCCAAGAACCTTAACTCAAACACATAGAAGGGAGTAGGGGTAGGGATTCACAATAGAAAAGGCAAGGAAGGAGCATAATTAACACAAATCCCTGAACATAAGTAGTAAAGTAAACAAGGATGACTGAAACTGTGAAGTAAACACGTAGGGGTGAAGGCAAAAAATTAAATGAAAAACATACAAGTTTCAAAGGAAATCAAGTAAGAAAACAGTAGTCTTTGAAAAGCCAAGTTGCAAGCACAGCAGTTCCAAAAGGTCTCAAGCAATGCAGAGTATTGAATTTAAATTAGTAAGGTAAATGTGTGAGTTGAAAGTAAGAAGTTCGAGGTATTGAACTTGAAGTATAGATGCAAAGTATTTGATTGGGAGTATAGATGTAAAGTTAGGTCTTGTTAAAGTGCAGAAGTGCACCCCCTTTTATAGTGCAAAGAGAACCAGTAAGAAAGGTAAAGAAATCATTGGAATCAGTCTCCCTTTCGTTAAGGGATTCTGATTCCAACGGGTAGAAATTAGTTAAGGAAAGAAATTTTTACTAAAACCTTTCAAAGTAGCACAAAAGGGGTAAATACATAGAAGTTATTTAAGGAAACAGTCAATGGTACACGGTTTGTGCCAAATATGGCAAGGGAATCAATTAAACATCCATGAAACCAAAAATTGCAAGTTCAATTGAATGAACCAAGTCAAGAAAGGTAAAGGAGGTTCAATCGAAGGAAAATCAGTGGCAAATCATTAGCCTTATTAAAGGGATTTCAGAATCAATCACTTAGTTGATAAAAAAAACCTTTTGAAAGAGAAATTTCTCATATATATAAGCACACAGATCAAAAGAAAAGAGTCGTTAGGTTATTTAGAAAAAGAGTTTAACACTGAAGGTCTCAGAGTCACAAGCAAAGAGATTCAAGCTTAATTACAGACTCACAGTGAGTCTGAAAGCTTAGGGTCCCAAAGCGGAACCCTAGTACCACTTGTCAAAGAAACCCCAAAACCTAGGGTTTCGAATAGAATCAGAG